GGTATTATGAACACTGTCTGGTGATTCTTTCCCTCCCTTCTTATTTCTCCTCCAATCTTTATATGTTAGGTGTTTTATTCTGTGTTCTTTTGAGTTTCCTTTGACTCCTTTTGTGAGTAGTCAATTTTATTTTTTTGCCTTTAGTTAGTATTTGATTGTCCTTCTTTCTTTGCTGTGATTTTATTTTCTCTGGTGACATCTATTTAGCCTTAGGATGCTTCTGTCTAGAGCAGTGCCTCTAAAATACCCTGTGGAGGTGGTTTGTGGGAGGCAAATTCCCTCAATTTTTGCTTGTCTGGGAATTGTTTAATCCCTCCATCATATTTAAATGATAATCGTGCTGGATACAGTATTCTTGGTTCAAGGCCCTTCTGTTTCATTGCATTAAATATATCATGCCATTCTGGCCTGTAAGGTTTCTTTTGAGAAGGCTGATGAAAGCCTGATGGGTTTTCCTTTGTAGGTGACCTTTTTCCTCTCTCTAGCTGCCTTTAATACTCTGTCCTTGTCCTTGATCTTTGCCATTTTAATTATTATGTGTCTTGGTGTTGTCCTCTTTGGGTTGCTTCTGTTGGGAGTTCAGTGTGGTTCCATGGTCTAGGCAACTATTTCTTCCCCCAGTTTGGGGAAGTTTTCAGCAATTATTTCTTCAAAGACACTTTCTATCCCTTTCTCTCTCTCTTCTTCTTCTGGTACCCCTATAATGTGAATATTGTTCCGTTTGGATTGGCCACACAGTTCTCTTACTATTCTTTCATTCCTGGAGATCCTTTTATCTCTGTCTGCGTCAGCTTCTCTGTGTTCCTGTTCTCTGATTTCTATTCCGTTTGCAGCCTCTTCCACCTCATCCAGTCTGTTCTTAAGTCCTTCCAGAGATTGTTTCATTTCTGTATTCTCCCTCTGTACTTGGTCGTTTATCACTTGCATATTTCTCTGCAGATCCATCAGCGTGGTTATGACCTTTATTTTGAAATCTTTCTTGGGGTGATTGGTTAGGTCTATCTCTCCCGGCTCTCTCTCAGGGATTGTCTGTACTATTTTGGAGTGGACTAAATTTTTCTTCCTTTTCATGGTGATAGAGGTAGCTGTAGGCCGGTAGCTCGTGTATCAGCTGGGAGAACAAATTCCTTTCCTGCTTGCTTGTTGCCTTGCTCTTCTCTGCTGCCTGTGTCAGTTACCCGCACTCCTGAAATGGCCTCCAGTTTAATCCCCTAAGCTACTGTGGGTGGTGTCTCCATAAGAGTAGTGCAGAGTCCTGCGAAGAGTGGCAGGTGCACTGGATATGCTCTCCTGTGAAAGCGGCGCCTGTACCAGGCAGCTGTGTGCTGGCTGTATCCTTTGGGTCTGGCCCAAGCAGTTGTATGCCAGCGTGAGATTCTGGGCGGCTACTGGTGGCGTGGCTGATCCTGGGCTGCTCCTCTGCTGACACTGTTGGCTCTCGCGGGCTGCTCCTGGGCTGCTCGGTCACTGGTGCTGCGGGCTCATGCAGGCCTCTCCCGGACCCCTCTGCTGTCACCACTGGTGCGCATGGGCTGCTCCTGGGCTGCTTGGTCGCTGCCGCTGCGGGCTTTCGTGGGTTGTTGCTGGGCCCCTCTGGCACCAGCGCTGCCACTGTGCGCGATCTGCTCGATTGCCACCACCGCGGTCTTGCACAGGCTGCTCTGCCACTGCTGGGTCATGTGGGCCCGTCCTGGGCTGCTTGGCTGCTGCTGCTACTGGCTCGCGCTGGCCACTCCCCGGCCCCTCTGGTGCCACTGCTGCTGCTGGGTTGTGCGGACCTCCCGCCGCCTCCAGCGTGTGCAGCCGCTTTACTGCTACTGCGCCGGTGTGTCGGGGTCTGTGCCAGTTGTGGGAATGACTGGCAGGGTGCTTATCATCGTGAGGGGCTTCAGAGCTGCGCTGCCGCCCATGGGGTCTGGTCGCCTAGAGTTCCCCAGGATTCCCACGTGTTGCATTGAGTGTGCCGGCGTGACTTCGTCCAGCTGTGAGGTCCCTGTCCCTTTAAGACTTGGTAAAAGCACTCACTTTTCTTTTGTCCCAGGGTGCTGGTTGCGGGGATCTGCTTGCAGGTTTTGCTTTTCCGTTTCTCTAATATCCAGCACACCGTGCACCATGTGTCTGTGCTCCCAGTGCGGATTTCTAGAGCTGGTTGTTTAGCAGTCTTGATCTTTCACTCCCTCCCTGCTCCGACTCCTTTCTTCCCACCAGGGGGCTGGGGTAGGGGGTTGCCCTGGTCCTGGCGGGCCTCAGCTTGTATCTTACCCCCTTCGTGTGATGCTGAGTTCTCGCAGATGTAGATGTAGCCTGGCTGTTGTAGTGTATCCGCTGGTGTCTCTTTTAGGAATAATTGTATTTGTTGTGTTTTCAAAAATATATATGTTTTTGGGAGGAGATATCCGCTGAACTACTCATGCTGCCATCTTGGCTCTTCCTCTCTCCCCTCTTGTTTTGCTAGCAGTTCCCCAAAATGAGAGATTTGTATCCCTGTGAGTACTTAACAGTATTTAAGTGTTAATCATCATGACATTAAATTGGCTCCTGTCAGTTGACTGGTGGCTCAGTTACTGTCCTTACAGTCTCAGTGATACTGGGGGAAGAGTTGGTTTGGAATTAAAGCTCAGTTGAATTGAATGAAATTGCCAAAATTTGACAAAAATGACAGCCTCATACAGCTCAAAATAGTATGTCCCTGAGGGTCCTGTTCTCCAGTTGTGACAGTGTGCAGGTTTCAGGCTCAGTCCTCCTCTGGTGTGGAAGAGACAGAATTCACTGTATTTGCAAATTACCTTTTGGGCTGCGCCATTGAAGGTCCATGATGCTGGCTTTCCATTTGCAATAGTGAGAGTTTTTCTTTTAAAACAGGCACATTTAGGCGAAAAGAGTGAGTCAAACTCAAGACAAATAAGTAATGGTTCCCATCCTCGGATGAGACAAACATTGCTAGTTGTTTGTGAACTACTGAAGTTTGGGGGAGAAGGGCTGGTAGGGCTAAAAGTGACACCACTGTGGGTTTAGGGCCTATGTGAGGTTCAGTATTATTTTGCCAGAACCAAAAATGCGGGGTGTGAATACATGTGAGAGATCTGTTTGATCTCGTGAGATTACACAGCAAGACACAGCAGTCCTCATGCCAAGTGTAAAATGGCATTTATGGGACGGGAGATCACAGGCAGGGTGTATTTTTTCCCAGCATATTTTACCCTCAGAAGCCTCTCCAGGAGGGAAGGGTGGCAGTCACAGGCTCTGAAATGCGTGTGTTTCTCCTCATGACTGTTTTCCTCTAAGAACAAAGACCCATTCTGTGCTTCATTAAAATTATTCCACGTTCTGTCAGTCAGACTGGCCTGTGGAGATGCTGTAACATATCTTTTGAATATTTTGCCTTCTAGAAATAATGGCCCAAAAACCCAGTGGGCACTGGAAGTTACATGAGACTGGAAACATGATTATTTCACAGAAGCACCTTTTCCCATGTGGAGTCCGGAACTTCACTGGGACTTTTGCCCTGGAAACTGTAAATGTTAGCCCAGACTGGAGGAGCAGCAGAATGAGCGTGGGATTCGGAGCTCAGCATTTGAATCCCCTTTCTTCAGTTCCGGGTCTTGTTGGACTGTGTGTGCATGGCTGACTTCCCTGTGCCTCTAGCCTCGTCTGTAAATGGGGATGGTAGTAATAATACTCACTTTCATAATATTGTTGTGAGTTCCTGTGCAGCCCTTAGAGCACTGCTTCGTAGCCAGTAAGTTTCTAGAAACCGTTAGCTGTTGTTGTTTTCATTATAATTTTATGTAAAGTGCTTTGGCACTTGGTAAATATTCTCTGCACCCTGGTCTCTGCTGTGAAGGATGGCAACCAGGTGACTTTAGGTATTTTTCTCAGCACATTTAGAAATTGTGCAGTTTTGTGACCCTTTCAGGTGACATGTCAGAAGAAATCAGAAGGAAGCGTTTTTTTTTCAAAGCATGCCAAGGAAGACTGATTTGTTTTGGTGATTTTTCTTTACCTGTTGAGGAATTAGAAGCATTTTTGAACTTTTTAGGGAGCTGAAACAACACCGGCTGCCCTTTGCTGTTCCTTAATGTTATTCTTAGCACAGCTGAAAACTGTCATAAGTATTCCTCTGGATGCTTATGAAACCAAATTGCTTTTTCAGGTACTCCTTTTCCTCTGTTAAATGTCTAAGGATATTCCTCATATGATTTTTATCTTCAGTTTGTACAGGTTTCTTATTAGTTTGAGGTGTTGACTGGATGTTGTAGTTCTCATCATGGCAGAAAATTCTGGGGTTCACTAATTGGGTTTCCTATCCCACCTGCCCTGCACACTTTATTTCCACCTTAAGGCTCTGCAGTGGATAGTCATAGATTGAATATTCTTTTATTTTACTGTAATAATCAAAGGAATTGATTTCTTTTTGGAAAAAGATTATTTTTAGCAATTGGGGAGCTCTAGGGCACTTAGCAAATCTGAGCACATTTCCATGTCTCGATTAAATAAATAGTATATCATTCATACTGTTTGTTTATATTGATAGTTTAGAGCAGTGCTTGGCCCATAGAAACAATATATAAGCATTGTCATCATCACCACCATCATGATGGTGGAGAGAGGCTCAGCATGAAGTATGAGCTTACTGTCAGATGTAACTATCTCTATGTCCACCTTGGCCACAAATCACCAAATACTAGGTGCATAATTGGACTTACTTCGCTTCTCTAGGCCTCTGAAAGATCAGATGATGGTCCTGATACCCACTTCCTGGGGGTGTAGTGATGATTAGATATAATAATGTTTGCTTGACACAGCCAATAAGGACTTAAAAAGCTCAATGCATTTTCTTTCTGTGACTAGACATAGCAGGGTTTTGCCTAAGTTGGAAACTAAAGGCTGGAATAATGGCTCCTTAATCCCTCCATTCAACAGGTATTTATTTACAGATCACTGTGTTCACATTGGGGCTGCACACTGGATGAGACGGCTGCTGTCCTCAAAGAACTCAGAGTAGAGTCCAGGAGATGGTCGTGTAAGTTGTGGATGGTCTTGGTAGCCGGAAGTCCTGATTACCTAGTGCAGACGTGAGAGGGAGTGCAGGGTCTTTGGTGGTCAAATGGGCAGGATGAGAGTTCCAGGTGTATTATCAGGGATAGCAAATGTGAAGTTGTGGGGATGTGTGAGAAAACAGTGGGATCATGGATGATGTGTTGTATGTGTTAGGAGATGGGCTGCAAACTCAGTAGATTGTTCTCTTGCTGTCATGAGGTATTTGAACTTTACCTGTTAGAGTATGATTTCTTAAAATATGGCTCTCTGTATATGGTTTTCACAGTTTTTGCCATTTCTGTATACCATCTGAGCTAGAGATTGGCTTGAGGTGGAATTTCAAGGCTGTGTCTCCTCTTGTCTTGTCAGAAGTAATACCATCAGTGAAATCAAAGATTGATGGCTGGTGAAAGGTAAATCTGGCAACCCCGATAGTGGCGCACAGGGAGAAGACAGGAGGCACGGTACTTGTGGCAAGGTTTATTATCTGCAGAGACAAAATGACTGCCTCAGAAGACTGAGAGCAGCAGCAAGGGTAGGGGATTTTTGGCTTTTATACTGGTCGCAGGGGGTAAGTAGGTCAGGTGTTTTCTGAGAAGCAACGCTTTACAGGGAAATGGAAACTTAAGGACCGTTAGTGCTGTTTATTTTGGCGGGCTGTCTGTTCTTGACGGGCTCATACCTGGATGTGGGTTCCTTATAGCTGATTATATTATTTTATTGACATAGTAAAGTGATTAACCTAGAAATGTTTATCTGTGTTCCTCGTAAAATCATGTCATATTATGTAGACCCATAGCAAAGTGTGGTATGGATAAACAAGAAACAAAGATAACGACATAGTCAGGTCTGTATTTCTGGAGACAGCTTCTACTCAGGATGCCAGGGGGGCGGGTGGGATAGATGGGGTCTGGGAGAGCATGAGAGATGGCTCTGCACAGGGGACAAGGGGGCTGAGTGGACGTGGAAGTACTGGGAGAAGAGATGTATGGATTGAGGAGCTTTAGGACAGAGCCTTGGTGAACTGAGTGACTAACTGGACATGGCTGATGAGACATAAATGCTCTGGCTCTCCTCTGTGGACAGAAATCTGAACAGATGTGTGTGGTTTTTTATTTTTTATTTTGGTATCATTAATGAACAATTACTTAAACAACATTATGGTTACTAGACTCCCCCTGTTATCAAGTCCCTCTCACATACTCCATTACAGTCACTGTCCATCAGCGTACTAAGATGCTATAGAATCATTACTTGTTTTCTCTCTATATACTGCCTTTCCCATGTCCCCTCCGTCATCACCCCCCTGGCTACATTATGTGTGCTAATCCTAATGCCGCTTTTTCCCCCTTATTCCTCCCTCCCCACCCATCCTCCCCAGTCCCTTCCCTTTGTTAACTGTTATTTCATTCATGGGTTCTGTGAGTCTGCTGCTGTTTTGTTCCTTCAGTTTTTTTCTTTGTTCTTATACTCCACAGATGAGTGAAATCATTTGATATTTGTCTTTCTCCACCTGGCCTATTTCACTGAGCATAATACCCTCTAGCTCTGTCCATGTTGTTGCAAATGGTAGGATTTTTTTCTTCTTATGGCTGAATAATATTCCATTGTGTGTATGTACCACATCTTCTTTATCCATTCATCTACTGATGGACACTTAGGTTGCTTCCATTTCTTGGCTACTGGGAATAGTGCTGCAGTAAACATAGGCGTGCATCTGTCTTTTTCAAGCTGGAGTGCTGCATTCTTAGGGTAAATTCCTAGAAGTGGAATTCCTGGGTCAAATGGTATTTCTATTTTGAGCTTTTTGAGGAACCTCCATACTGCTTTCCACAATGGTTGAACTAATTTACATTCCCACCAGCAGCAGGAGGGTTCCCGTTCCTCCACAACCTCACCAACATTTGCTGTTGTTTGTCTTTTGGATGGTGGTGATCCTTAGTGGTGTGAGGTGATATATCATTGTGGTTTTAATTTGCATTTCTCTGATGACTAGCAATGTGGAGAATCTGTTCATGTGTCTGTTCGTCATCTGAATTTCTTCTTTGGAGAACTGTTTGTTTAGCACCTTTGCCCATTTTTTTAATTGGATTATTTGCTTTTTGTTTGTTGAGGTGCATGAGCTCTTTATATATTTTGGATGTCAACCCTTTATCGAATCTGTCATTTATGAATATATTCTCCCATACTGTAGGATACCTTTTTGTTCTATTGATGGTGTTCTTTGCTGTACAGTAGCTTTTCAGCTTGATATAGCCCCACTTGTTCATTTTTGCTTTTGTTTCCCTTGCCTGGGGAGATATGTTTATGAAGAAGTCACTCATGTTTATGTCCAACAGATTTTTGCCTATGTTTTTTTCTAAGAGTTTTATGGCTTCATGACTTACATTCATGTCTTTGATCCATTTCGAATTTACTTTTGTGTATGGGGATAGACAGTGATACAGTTTCATTCTCTTACATGTAGCTGTCCAATTTTGCCAACACCAGCTGTTGAAGAGGCTGTCATTTCCTCATTGCATGTCCATGGCTCCTTTATCCTATATTAATTGACTATATATGTTTGGGTTCATGTTTGGAGTCTCTATCCTGTTCCACTGTCTGTGGCTCTTTTCTTGTGCCAGTACCAAATTGTCTTGATTACTGTGGCTTTGTAGTAGAGCTTGAAGTTGGGGAGTGAGATCCCCCCAGTTTATTCTTCCTCCTCAGGGTTGCTTTGGCTATTTGTGGTCTTTCATGTTTCCATATGAATTTTTGAAGTTTTTGTTTCAATTCATTGAAGAATGCTATTGGTAATTTAATAGAGATTGCATCGAATCTGTATATTGCTTTGGGCAGGATGGCCATTTTGACGATATTAATTCTTCCTAGCCAAGAGCATGGATGAGCTTCCATTTGTTAGTGTCTCCTTTAATTTCTCTTAAGAGTGTCTTATAGTTTTCAGGGTATAGGTCTTTCACTTCCTTGGTTAGGTTTATTCCTAGGTATTTTATTTTTTGATGCAATTGTGAATGGAATTGTTTTCCTGAGTTCTCTTTCTATTAGTTCATTGTTAGTGTATAGGAAAGTCACAGATTTCTGTTTGTTGATTTTGTATCCTGCAACTTTGCTGAATTTCGATATTGGTTTCATTGATTTTTCTATTGTTTTATTCTTATCAATTTTATTTATTTCTTCTCTGATCTTTATTATGTCCCTCCTTCTGCTGACTTTAGGCCTCATTTGTTCTTCTTTTTCCAGTTTTGATAATTTTGATGTTAGACTGTTCATTTGGGATTGTTCTTCCTTATTAAAATATGCCTGGATTGCTATATACTTTCCTCTTAAGACTGCTTTTGCTACGTCCCACAGAAGTTGGGGCTTTATGTTGTTGTTGTCATTTGTTTCCATATATTGCTGGATCTCCATTTTAATTTGGTCGTTGATCCATTGATCATTTCGGAGCATGTTGTTAAGCCTCCATGTGTTTGTGAGCCTTTTTGCTTTCTTTGTACAGTTTATTTCTAGTTTTATACCTTTGTGGTCTGAAAAGTTGGTTGGTAGGATTTCAATCTTTTGGTATTTACTGAGGCTCTTTTTGTGGCCTAGTATGTGTCTATTCTGGAGAACTTTCCATGTGCACTTGAGAAGAATTTGTATCCTGTTGCTTTTGGATGTAGAGTTCTATAGATGTCTATTAGGTCCATCTGTTCTAGTGTGTTTTTCAATGCCTCTGTGTCCTTACTTATTTTCTGTCTGGTGGATCTGTCCTTTGGAGTGAGTGGTGTGTTAAAGTCTCCCAAAATGAATGCATTGCATGCTATTTCCTCCTTTAATTGTGTTAGTATTTGTTTCACATATATTGGTGCTCCTGTATTGGGTGCATATATGTTTAGAATGGTTATATCCTCTTGTTGGACTGACCCCTTTATCATTATGTAATCTTCTTCTTTATCTCTTGTTACTTTCTTTATTTTGAAGTCTATTTTGTCTGATACTAGTATTGCAACACCTGCTTTTTTTCTCCCTGTTGTTTGCATGAAATATCTTTTTCCATCTCTTGACTTTTAATCTGTGCATGTCTTTGGGTTTGAGGTGAGTCTCTTGTAAGCAGCATATAGATGGGTCTTGCTTTTTCATGCATTCTATTACTCTGTGTCTTTTGATTGGTGCATTCAGTCCATTTACATTTAGGGTGATTATTGAAAGATATGTACTTATTGCCCGTGCAGGCTTTAGATTCGTGGTTACCAAAGGTTCAAGGTTAGCTTCTTTACTACCTTACTGTCTAACTTAACTCACTTATTGAGCTATTATAAACACAGTCTGCTGATTATTTCTCTCCCTTCTCATTCCTCCTACTCCATTCTTCATATGTTGGGTGTTTTGTTTTGTGCTCTTTTTATGAGTGCTCCCATCTAGAGCAGTCCCTCTAAAATACCCTGTAGAGGTGGTTAATGGGAGGCAAATTCCCTCAACTTTTGCTTGTGTGGGAATTGTTTAATCCCTCCTTCATATTTAAATGATAATCATGCTGGATACAGTATTCTTGGTTCAAGGCCCTTCTGTTTCATTGCATTAAATATATCATGTCATTCTCTTCTAGCCTGAAGGTTTCTTTTGAGAAGGCTGATGATAGCCTGATGGGTTTTCCTTTGTAGGTGACTTCTTTTCTCTCTCTGGCTGCCTTTAATACTCTGTCCTTGTCCTTGATCTTTGCCATTTTAATTATTTTGTGTCTGGGTGTTGTCATCTTTGGATCCCTTCTCTCGGGAGTTCTGTGTGCTTGCGTAGTCTGAGCAACTATTTCTTCCCCTGGTTTGGGGAAGTTCTCAGCAGATATCTCTTCAGAGAGACTTTCTATCCCTTTTTCTCTCTCTTCTTCTTCTGGTACCCCTATAATGTGGATATTGTTCCTTTTGGATTGGTCACACAGTTCTCTTAATATTGTTTCATTCCTAGAGATCCTTTTATCTCTCTCTGCTTCAACTTTTATGCATTCCT